ATATTTTTATTATTTTCTTTTTAGAATAATATTATATTTTGTAAATAATCGAATATTAATAACATATAAATTAAATAATAAGTATACTATTTTAATATTAAATTTATTATTTATTATATAAATTTTAATATTTATATATAATTTCAGTTAGTTATCAATTAATTGTCTAATTTTACTAAATTTTTTTTAAAGTATGATAGTTTTACAAAATCTTTATTATAATAAAAGTAAGTTATATATAAAAATAAAATATAAATTAAGAAGAAATTACAGAAATTTTATAAAAGAAAATATTTAATAAAAATAAATATTTAAAGTTGAAAATAAAAAAATATATAAAATAAAAAATAAAAGTCTTATTTAAAGAAATAATAAATGAAAAATTATGTGAGAAGAAATAAAAATAGGAAAGAAAATAATATTAAAAACTTATAAAAATAATAATTAGAAAATAGAATTTGAAATATTAAAAATAAAAAAGATTAATAAAAAATAAAAAAATATGATAAAGAAGAATTAAAAAAAATAACAAATTGAAGAGTATTAAAGAAGATGATAAAGAATAATTTTTGGATAAATAAAAATTAATTTGTAAAATAAATCCTCTTAATAATAAGTAGTAGAAATATATTAAGTAGAAACAGTTCTTGTTAAAGCTATTGAACTTATAAGACATTATATATTTGTAAAATACAGATTTTGATGATTATAGTATCTACTAAAATTTTGGTAATCTTAATCAACTATTATGAAATAAAAGAATATTATAAAGTAATATCAAGGGATAAAATCAGTCATTTTCTAAATTAGATAAGTTAACTTGATAAAACGTGTCATTTTTCTTTTTATTTAAGAATGTTATCTTTAAAATCTTTTTGATTAGTTTTTGGGTATTTTGTTTATACAACTTCTGAAAAGAATTAAATCAATCAAAAATTAAATCATTAATGTCAGAAAAATTTAATTTTTTGTTAAAATTTCTTGGAAACTTTTTGTTTTATTTAAAAATTTTTCAGAAGTATTATTAAAATTGTTAATATTTTTAACTATAGTAACAGGTGAATAGAAGTGAAAATCATATTATTTGCAAAGTTTCTTTTCTTTTTTTTATTTAAGAGAAGTGGGTCTACATCCATAGATAATGGAGTTGTTTTTAAATTATTTTGGAAACTAATACTTGTTTGAACATGATTAATAATTTGTTGAATATTTTGTAATTTATTAGGTTGCTATTGCAGCTTTAGCAAAGTAGGATGTGAACAGGTGAATTGTTTTTGTTGTTAGTTTTTTTTGCTCTTTCTTTGGTCTTAGCATATTTGAAAAAAAAAAATTTTTAAAAAAAATTTTTTTTGCTAAATTATTTACGTTACACCTAGATAAAATTGAAGTTGTTATAAATAAGACGCGTAAACATGTTATTACAATTATATTTATCCTATTTTTATTATCTTAATCTTTTTTTCTTTATTTCTTTATCATAATAATCATCATTGATATTATTTATTTCATTTTCCTCATATTTATCACGTTAATAGCATTTAAAAATCTTTAAATAAAACTAATACAGTATCACCAATCTATAACAGTTTTATAAGATGATCTTCTAATCTATTAATTAAAATCGATCAGCTTATTGATTAATACCCGGGTATTATTGGTTGACGATTTTTATCGGTTTGAGAGTAAAATCGAAATGTAGACCGATTTGAAATTGGAGTCTAGACCGAAATTTAGACCGGATTTTATATATTGTATAAAATCTTAAAAGTTGTAGAATTGCGCGACACAAAGTGCAATGCGTTGTTAATTTCAAAAAACATATTTTTTTGCGATCTATCTAATATCCGAAACTTTATTCCCATCAAGCTTTTGACTTGATATCATTATGCATTCCCACAATCGTCCAAACTAGGGATGTTGAGCGGTCCTAAGCGGTCATAAAAGTCCCAAGAAAATTACAAAGAATTATATTTACAAATTTATTATGAAACTTGTCTATTATAATGTTTTAATGAGCTACTAAATGTAAAGATTTAATAAACCCTCTTGGAACCCCAGAATTTCTTAAAATTTAAAATTTAAGGACTTAGAAGGACCGGTCCTATACCAATTTTGAATATCATTATAAAATTTTTAATTTTTTGATGGGGGTTACTTATTATAGATAAATGATTAGACTTCTCTAGAGTTAGTAATCTCTTAAATTGTAAGGACCGTTAACATCCCTAGTCTAAACCGATCTAAAAATCGGTTCAGTTTTCAGTTCGATTTGATCGGTTCTATGATAACATGATACTAATTTAGGTTTTATTTTTAACACGTGTCCACAAAAACGATAATCAAATATATTTAATATATGAACTTGCTTGTTAGATGGGAAAAACTAAGCTGAAATGACAAACTTAATTCCTTTTAAACTTTCTTCAAGTCTATCCGGTCATGAATTAGACGTAAGGGCCATAACTTATTATGTTTACTTTTAGTAATTTGTAGTTCTCTAAGGCATTACCTCTAATAATAGATTAAAGCTGTTCGAGGTCCAAGCGAAGACTTGATTATTTCTGCGTCTCGCGACAAAACTGTCCGCAGCTGGTTTAGAACCGGAGCTAACTCTTTTAATGAAAGTAAAATGTACCTGGGGCATACAAGTTTCGTTAATTCTCTTGTGTTTTTTAAACCCACTACTGAATATGCTAAAGGTAATTTAGTGCTGAGAGAATTTTTTGACCTTCACAAAAACTTGCCTTAATTTATTTTATTTAAACAATTTTAATCTAATAATATTTCAATATAGGCCTTATAATTAGTGGTAGCAGTGATAAGATCATAAATGTTTTTGATCTCGATGATGTGCAGGATCCAATTTATTCGTTAATCGGCCATTCTGATAACGTTTGTGCGTTAGATATCACACCATCTGGCCATATAGTTTCCGGTTCTTGGGATAAGTATGTCTAAAAATTTATTAGTTTTCATATATGGGGTTTTGTCTTAAAGTCTAGAATTAAATGATTTCTCTCTCTACCTTAGAACGGCCAAAATTTGGAAAAATTGGCAAGAAGCTTTTACTTTGAACGGACATTCCCATGCTGTATGGGCAGTTTTAGCTGTAGATGACGATTTAATATTTACCGGTAGGTTTAGAAATGATTTCTTGATAATGATATTATTTTACTGATTCATGTATTCTTAAAATACCGGTTTAAGGGTCGGCCGACAAAACTATTGTAAAATGGCAGAATGGCAAACGAATTCAAACTTTATCTGGCCATACTGATTGTGTTAGGGCGTTAGCATTACTGCCAGATATAGGTATTGTTTCATGTGGAAATGATAGGTATGATATTTGTATAAACCACATTAAGTTTTAATATAAACAGAGATCCTTTAATCAAATTTTCAATTTATAATTCATTAAGCACTCTTCGTATATGGACATTAACTGGACAATGTATTCAAGAATTAAATGGTCATACTTCCTTTGTGTACAGCATTGATATATTACCTACAGGTGAAATCATATCAAGTGGAGAAGACCGATCCGTAAGAATTTGGAAAGGTATTTTAAAGACATTAATTTATAATTTATTAATAATTTAATTTTGAATTGATAAATTATATTTAAGATGGAGAATGTGTACAATCTATTGTACATCCTGCAACATCTGTATGGTGCGTAGCTGCCATGCCTAACGGTGATATTATTAGTGGTGCAAGTGATGGTGTGATTCGTATTTTCACAAAGGTCGAAGAACGCATTGCAGAAAAAGAGATTCTAAAGGTACACAATATTTGATGATTAAATAACTTAAATATAGAATTTTTTCTAAATATTACTTACATTTTGAATAGAATTACGACGAGCAAGTTTCAAGACATGCAGTTCCTACGTATATTATTATTTTTATATATTAATATTAAACTTTTACATCTGTTATCTAATATTTATTATACAATTTACAGTAATCAGTTAGGAGATTTGAAGAAAGATGATCTTCATGGATTAGAAGCATTGCTTAAGCCAGGTTGAATTAAAAAAAAATAAGATTTTCTTTATAACTAGATTTACTTATTTTATTTTTATTACCCTAGGAAAAAATGAAGGACAAGTCATTATGGTGCGAAACCGTGATTCTGTTGAGGCTCATCAAGTATGTAAACTGTTATTTAAAATTTATATATAAATAACCACTTATTTTAAAATTTGACACTATTACAAGTGGAGTCAAGCTGATCAATCATGGCACAAAGTGGGCGATGTGGTTGATGCTATTGGTAAAGATCGAAAACAGTTATATAACGGAAGAGAATATGATTATGTATTTGATGTCGATATTGGTGATGGGGTTCCACCTTTAAAACTTCCATATAATGTTTCCGGTTTGTATTCAATTGTGATAAAATTTTTATATTTTTTAATTTGATGGTATTTATTAACAAGAATATTGTGTTGTAGATAATCCGTATAAAGCAGCTCAAGAATTTATTTGGTCTAATGAACTTCCGCAAAGCTATTTGGATCAAATTGCAAATTTTATTGAAAGAAATGCACAAGCCGTTTCATTGGGCACTGGCTCACAATATGCAGATCCATTCACCGGTATAAAGTCATTATTTATAATATTTTCTTTTTAGACTGAGAATCTTTGGTTATGTATTATTGTAAATTTACAGGATCATCAAGATATACTCCTAGTGGAACATCAAATAATTCATCTTATAATTCCTCAGTACCTTCAGTACCTACGAACGTCCAAGTAAGGATGAATTACAATATTTCAACTTTTAAGCTTGTTTAACTTATTTGGCTGTGATTATAGAATACTTTAACTACTGGTACAGACCCATGGACTCGTCCAGAGACGTCAAATTCACCATCCGGAAAAGTTAAGGCAATTCCACAGGTAATAATAATTTCTCTGTATTAAATTTTACGATCTATCCTTACCTAAATTATTTTCCTTATAATATCTAGAAAAGTTATCTTACTTTCCAGAAAGCAAACATCCAAGCTATTTTTAAAAAAATAGGACAAATTAATGAAACATTATTAGCCAATGAAAAAACTCGGAATATTGCATTGTCAACCGATGAAATTTCGACTTTGGAAAAATTGATACTATTTTTGCAAAATCCTTCAACTCGGGCAGCTTCGATAATCGAACATCAAAGCGAATTTGACATGATTTGTAAAATAATAACTCGGTGGCCATTTGATAATCGATTTCCAGGTATTTACTATTATATCTTTTATTGCTACTAATATTTTCATTGTTATAAATTTTTGTTTATTTTAATAATTCAGGGATTGACTTACTGCGTCTCCAAATTCTTTACACTTCAATCCCTTCCAAATACGTTGATAATGATGAAAGTATCGTAGATTTGGTCACTAAGTCCGCTGGTATTAATACTTGGCCCAAAGACAGCATACCCAATAAAGACCAAGAAACAAATGCTATGTTAGGTTTAAGGGCATTATCAAATTTATTTGATAATAACGAAGGGAGAGAGATTTTAGGACGGGAGGCTTCTAAGGTGATATTTATAATCATAAAAATGTTTCTTTTATATTTCTATTTAAATTATAACATTTTTTTTCTAGATTTTGGAATTATTATCATCATCCACATGGAATAAAAGTTCCAATAAAAATAATCGTATTGCTCGGGTGACTGTGTATCTCAAGTAACCGAAATAGATCAAAGATTTATTTAATCCATGATGCTTTTCATAATTGAATACTTAAATTTTTTTTGTTTTCCAGTTTTGCTGTTTTAAATCAAACGATTCCAGATGATAATAATATTCTTCAAATAATGGAAATGTTAGTGGAGGTATGCTGGTTTTACGCAGCCATTAATTATATTGCGAATTACTATTTTTTGTGGGTTAATTATTTTATTTATATTTTATAATAGCTTCTCAAATCAGAAACAGATTCTGAAGTTATATATAGAGCTCTCGTAACTTTGGGAACATTGGTATATATTGTTATTGGCTGTTACTGCTCTTGGATACTTTAAATTAATATTGTAAACAATTTCTTTCAGATTAATCAAAATCAAGTCGCTAAAGATGCTGCCGCGGCTTTTGGTGTGAAACTTGCTGTAGAAATTGTATCCACTAAAGTAAAAGAAGATAGAATTAGTCGGCTTATTGATGAGATAGAATTTTAGATAAAGTATATCGTGATTTTATCTTCCTTGAAAGTTTGTATGCATGCAAGTGAGAGTAATAATATAGTAACCTACTATTTAAAAAATGTGATTAATTAAAAATTAGACTTGTTCTTATAAAATAATACCATGACACTTAACATGGGCATAATTATAACACGTGATAAATGGGCATCCTTAATGTAGACGGTAATACAAAAAAAACTGATAAAAGGTTCAGCATATTTGAAATCTAAACCTTTCTAAGTTTGGGAATCTCAGCATTTTCGCCCTTGATCTCGGCAAATTTAATGAATCCATTGTAGGTTGAGCGTTTTACATTGTTTTATACAGGGTAGAAAAGTTCGTCAGCATAGATATAAACCGTGACAAAAGTCGGAAAATTTTGGGTGACTGATCATTTCGAAGAAACAGTTTTTTTTTGTACGTTATTATGTAAACACGAAACTGATATATTTTGCCGGTACACACCCATACCACATTCTTGATACAACATATATGCTCAAAAGTTAAGAATTTATCGACGTGTAATTTTGATACACAGATTTGCTACACGATGGTTCTTTATTAATGCCCGCAGAAGATTTTCGCTTGTCTAACTATCTATACTTACACATTATCCGTTTCATTTGTCCCAATCATTGACGTTTTGGATAGTGTTAATTATACTTGTGCGTCAGAAATAATATGTAGTAAAGCTCCGCCAAAAATTTATGTTATTTTGCATTCTGTATTAAGATCCTAAGTATGATTAGTTTGCAAGCTCTGAAGTCGCTTCCTTGTAAACCTTAGTCATACCTTAATTGCGAAATTTCGCGAATGACGATAAATATAATTTTTAAAAATTTTGTTCATACGATTTACTAAAACATTTTCCATATAAAAAGCTTATAAATACAGAGTACAGTCATAAAAAAGAAATGTACAGTACAGGTGTTACTAGGAGTTTCAAGTTTGTCACTGGCGAAAAAAAAAGTTGATCTGAATGAGAGTGAAAAATTTTCTCGTTATCTAGCAACAATATTGCAAGAGACAGAGAAGTGGTGGCGATAGGAACGAGAATTTTTTCCGATTAGTATATTGTTTATATTTCTAAGAGAACAAAAAAGATGTTGAATATATATCAAAAAATATCTAAAGATGCTTACAAGTTAGTTGAGGTATGGACTATATTTTATTTTTCAAAAATGCTGTGTTAACTAGAGTTAAGAATATAAATGATGTTAGTTTTTACCAAATATTTGTCTAATAAAATTTTTTTTTTTTAATATTAATATAAAAATTTTTTATTTTTTTAAAATTTATATTAAATTTGATATTTTTATAAAAAATTTACTAATGATCAATTTCTTCTGTTTCCGAATTTTCAATATAAATATATATTATCATTTATGTCTCTACATTCTTTTGTTTTGGAAAGACATTTTCTTCAAAACTCAAAGAATAGTTTTAGAGATAATCTTCTCTTTAAATGCATATAATAATTTGTTTTCTAATAGCAAGAAGATTAGAATGTGAACCAGTTCTAGCAATCTTACCTTTTACAATTGCCCAAATTCCTTTATGTGAATGGGCATGAACGTAAAGATGTAGTGGAATATCGAAAAATCTTTTTAAAAGAAATGAAAATATACATAAATATCATATAATGTCAATGATGCAATGTTGATCAAGCCATAATATGTTAATCTATTTTATTTTTTTATAATGAACTTATCAAAAATTAATGCTGATTTTTGAAGTAATGAAATGGAAATTCAAATTAATCCTAAATTGCAACCAGATAAACAAATTCATATTTTGGTTATCTATGATGAAATTACATTTCATTCTAATAATAAAAGAAATTCTGAATAGACTTCTGATTATGAACATTACAAAAAAAAATAAGAACATACTATTTATATAAGTGATTTTATTTATGAAATAATCAGTTGATTACAATTAAATGAGAAATAAAGTCTTTCTAAAATTGGAGATAGGATTCTACATAAAGTCCAAAAAATAATGAATTCTAAAAAAATCATAAACTGTTAAAAAATTATTTGATCAGATAATTGATTAATTATTATTATTATTTTTTTAATAAATATATTTTTCTTTTTACTTGAAGATAATTCAATGTGCAATTCCTATATTTAAAACAATTTATTCAAATGCTATTAGTATTTTTATATTTGATAATTTCATATCACATAATACTTTTATATCTGATATATTAGTTATATCATATATGAATATAAATCTAAGCAGAAAGCAACTCAAATGAGAAATACAATATTTAATAGACAAGTTCAAAGTATAAATTTTCTTGATGATTATTTTGATAAAACACTTCAAGAAAAATTAAAAGCAGAAGGTAAGTTTTAGAGAATGTCAGTTAATGAAATCAGATTTAATAGGATATTGTCATAATAATAAATCAAAAGATACTCAATGTTGTATACTGAATATTCTTAAAATTAACCTGATTTTCTTGCTCAAAAAGAAATAATTCAAGAAATTATTGAAGAACAAAATTATAAAATAATTTTTTATTTAAAATTATATTTTGAATTAAATTTTATTGAAATGTATTAGAGAGCATCTAAGAAATATTTTTATAAAATTATAACTAAATTTAGACTAATTTATAATAAATTGTATTAATTGCTTTAAATCAAATTCTATTATTTCATATTAGAGCATTTGTAAGAAAATTATATAGATATATGGATGCATATCAAAAAAGATTAGATGCAAAATAAGCAGAATATGTAGTTAAATATTATAAAAGATATAGAATAATACCTTATATATTGTTTTATAATATTTAATATTTTTTAAATAAATTTTTTAATAAAAAAATTTTGTGTATATAGTACAATAATTTAAGTAAAGTAATATATTAATGCTAACTAGAATTATATTAATTTTATAATTTAAGCTAAAAATCATATGATCAATCTCTTAGAAAAATATGGTTACTATATTTAAGATTTGATATGATTAGAGTGCTTGAGCTATAGCAGTATGATTAATAATTTAAACCATTTATTACACTTTATACCTATATATTAAACTATAATTCAAAAATAAATAAATATTATTTTATACAAAATTAATAACTGTGTTTAATTCCTATTAGTAATCAAAGTAATTAAAGTTAAAACTATTTTATATAATATCTATAATAAATTATTAGAAAATTATCTCAAAAAAAATATTATATATAATAAGTTAGTTTTAGAATATTACTAGTTTAATATATGTAAAGCTGTCTAAGAATAGGTCAGAACCTATTAAAAAATATCAAAATCAATTGAACTATTACATTTAATACTAGTTTAATAATTGTTTAATTGAATTATATTGATTATATAAAACCTCTTTCTTAAATAACTCATAAAAATTATTAATAATTATTATAATAGAATATTTAACTAAATAGATCAGGATTATTAAGATATCTGATTGTTATATATAAATAATTATATAGTTTATTTATCAAGAAATTGTTTATAAATACAGAATGCTAAAAAAAATTTTAGTTAAGTAAATTTATTTTAAAATAAATTAATTATAATTCTCATATATATAATTAGAATAAATATTATTTTTTTTCATTATTACCTAAACTAATTAGATTATTAAATGATTAAATTAAATATTATATAATATTTTAGTTAAATTTACTGAGTAATATAAAGAAAAGTAGGATCTTATCTATTCTTATTATTATTTACTTATTAAATAATATAATAGAAAATTATAAAATTTGAATCTTTCAAGTTATTATATAAATAATAAGCTATATTATTTGTTAATTATAACTGCAATAGTCTTTTTTAATTAAAACATTTTTCTTATTTAAAGATCTTTGCAAGTCAAACTTTAATAACTCATTATTATTAAAATTATATATATATATTTTATTTATTTAAAAATCTTAGAGTTAAGTGAATTTTAATTATATAATTTCTTATATTAAATTAAATTAAAAATTAAGTTTATAGAATACCAAATTTTTAATCAAACTATAAAAATTAAAATAATTATAACTATATTTATTTTGTGACTATTATCAACACTGGTCGAAATCAAAAAAATTATATATGCGAAAATTCAGCCTAAATTTGGCCTAAATTTGGTAAATTATCAAAAAATCAGCCTAGCCGATTGGCATATACTAAAAATCAGCTAAGAATCAGCTGAAATTCAACCTATTTTATTTATAGCTAATTGGCATACTTATTGCCGATTGGTATACGTTAAAAATTGGCTAAAATTTGACCCATTTTATTTATAACCGATTGACGTCTGATTTACATCTGATTGATATACATCACAAATAGACTAAAATATTTCAAAATAAAATAAAATTTGAAAGGAAATATAACTGATATTTAGGATTAACAGCCAAATAATGCTAAAAATATCCAATTTATTTTTACAAATGGTATTTTCTATTAATTGGATTAACAGCCAAATATTTTTTTGCATTTTGTCAGGCTGAAATTCGATAGTTAATTGATACAAATCGACCTAAAATATGATAAACTGGTATTATACAATCATGACTTTCTGGATAATATTCAGTATCACATAATTCGATATTACAAGTTTTTTTTTTGCTAAAATAATATTGAACTTGACCAGGATAACAATCGACTATACTATTATTTGTAATAAATTTGGCTAAATGTACGAATTTTTTACATGTCACAAAGATATTAATGATTTGAAGATTTCAGAACTAATTTAATACCTTTCAAATTGATTCATTTTGATCTGAATCGTTATATCATCTTCTGAATCCTTATCGAATAGTTTTCTAAAATCAAACATGATATAAGTCAAATTGTAATATTCAATCATCAAATCAAGCATTTCGCTTGAAATAATTATATTATCAGATAATAGTTTAAGGAATTCGCTAAAAAATAGTTCACTACTAATAACATTTGATTCCTTAATATTTTGTGAATTTATCTAAAATTGATGGATTTTGTCAGAAGAAA